CTCCCTCCTCTTCCTCCTCTCTCCTCTCTCCTCTCTGTCCTCTCTCTTATCTCCCTCATCTCCCTACTCTTTCTCCACTCCCTCCTCTCCATGACCTCCTCCTCCTCTCCCTTGTCTCCTTCCCCTTCCTCCTCTCTCCTCTCTCGTCTCCCTCCTCTCTCTCCTTTTCCTCCTCTCCCTCGTCTCCCTCCTCTCTCTCCTCTCTGTCCTCTCCCTCGTCTCCCTCCCTTCCTCCTGTCTCCTCTCCCTTGTCTCCTTCCCCTTCCTCCTCTCTCCTCTCTCGTCTCCCCCCTCTCTCTTCCTCTCCCTCATCTCACTCATCTCCTCTTCCTCCTCTCCCTCCTGTCTTTCCTCTCCCTCGTCTCCCTCCACTCCTGCAGTAGCCTTACTCTCACCACTGTTGGAGTGTAGGGGAAGTTTGCGGCTGTAAACTTTGTCTTCATGGCTGCTGCTGCTGCTTGACATCACTGTTTTATTTTCTCAGAGGGCATGCTGACCCTTCGCGCCAAGCCCCCCACGCAGGCAGAGTTCACAGACAGCTTGCAGAAGATTAAACTGGCTTTCAACCTGCTGGTGAGGCCCGCTGAGCACTGAACCCCTTCATCACCCCTTTACCCTCATCTGCCACTCAGCTCTGTTACATCTTCTGTCACTACTCTCTCTTCAGTGTCATCACCCCTGTACCCTCATCTGACACTCAGCTCTGTTACATCCTCTGTCACTCAGCTCTCTTCAGTGTCATCACCCCTGACCCTCATCTGACACTCAGCTCCGTTACATCTTCTGTCACTCGGCTCTCTTCAGTGTCATCAACTCTGTACCCTCATCTGACACTCAGCTCTGTTACATCCTCCGTCACTCGGCTCTCTTCAGTGTCATCACCTCTGTACCCTCATCTGACACTCAGCTCTGTTACATCTTCTGTCACTCGGCTCTCTTCAGTGTCATCACCCCTGTACCCTCATCTGACACTCAGCTCTGTTACATCTTCTGTCACTCGGCTCTCTTCAGTGTCATCACCTCTGTACCCTCATCTGACACTCAGCTCTGTTACAT